TCTTGTCATGTATCAGAAACATTTAAAATTATGTTTCAGCTTTATCCAGTGGTTTTTTAACATACAGATTTTTTTTTTAAAGATGTATTTATTTATTTGTACAGAATTGGGGATACAGGCCAGAGATGCGGAGGGTGAGAGGATTCACCAGAGACAGAGTGGGGAGCAAAACAGGCAGATCGACGAAGTACACTGCTGAGGGGAGCAGCGGGCGGGTCAGGAGAGGTCTGCCGCGCCCTGTGGTCACCTCCGGGGCAGGCGGGAATCGAACTCATGCGGAAGCGGCTTCAACTTCTTAGTACAGTGCTTTAACCCGCTGCGCCACCCGGGAGGGCCCAACATACAGATTTTTTTTTAACACATGTTGAAATATTTCTTTCTGAACTAAATTGCACATTGCAGAAATATAAAGCTGTGCCTTTTCGTTATCTTTCTTCAATCCAAATAAATAGGAAGGGAAGGATAATTCAGTGTTTTAAATTTTTCATGCTATGATAGCAGGCCTTATATAATGTTTAGAAAAATACAACTAATTAGTGAATAAATGTATATGTATTTCTTTAAATAAGAATGCTTATTCACTTTATTGAAGAGAAAACTCGAATATTGATGTGAATTTTTTTGAGAAATTGGGGAGCTGTTTTTTTTCTTACATCGTTGTAGTCTCTATAGTTTTGCCACTGATGTGATTTCTTTGTAAAAGTGCACTATATAGGGACAAGTTTTTTTTTTTCCATCTCATATGTTACCCAAAGCTGAAACGTAAACAGTTTATGTTCTGTCATAACTGTGAGAATGACTGCGAAGCTGTGTGGAGGTGTGCATGGCTGTGCGTCTTACCTCTACCAGCCAATATGATAGAATTTTCCAGTTGTTTTAAATGGGGTCTGTTGAAAAGACCACTCAGGCTGATCTACTTTAGAAGAGCCTTCCTTTTGTGTAGAGAACCCCGGGCAGCTGTTTGTTTTTAACTTTTATTTGTCACCATGGTTACCAACACCTGCCTGTTTACAACGGAGGGGCACAGTCCGCATGGGTGAAGCACTGTATAGGTTTTAGGCGGTAACAGAGGTAAAGACAACTAGACTGGGAGTTCTTCTCCCCACTGGAGTTATTTCAGTGAGAGTTATCAAAATTTGGTGTGTCCAGTGGAATGAGAGGCTTTGGGGAAGTTTTTGACTTATGCACAGGTTTACTTTTGACATTCTTATTAAAATTACCGTGTAGCATAAGGAGAGGAGAAGATAGCCTCCTCAGTCCTGCAAATGGGAAAGAAACCATTTTTTTCCCCTGTAGAAAAACTGGTGGTACCAGTTTGAAGAGTCTATGCCTCTTCTGACCTTGCAAGAGTCACTGTGGGCAGTGTCTTGTACACTGCCCAGGTCAGTTGGCAAACTGACAAAGGAGAGTGGTGACGGGGCTGCAGTTCACTTCCTGCAGGAAGATTGGGGTAGCTAGCCCCTTTTCTAGGGCTGGGGGGTACACATGGGTGAGGAATAGACAGGATCTCTGCCTGCTGGAGCTGCCAGCCTGATCTTTCACCCAGCAACTGCTGCAGTGTTGGTATTGCCCAGCATTGACAAGGTAGGAGAGGGAGGATGGGAGGATCTGAGTGGCGAGAAGCTGGGCAGAGGCGATGTGTGGCTCAGTCAGGGAGAGGGGCGTGGCCACCCCAACCTGAGAGGCAGGCATAGCCCTGCAGAGGCCTGTCGGCATTGTGACTTTATTGAAGGATTTTATTCTGATTAAAAGTAAAACTCCTGAATCCAAAGGTAGGACTAGGGTTTGCTTCTATGCTGGGCATTTTTTTGTACATTCATTTATTTCGACTTCATACAGTGCTGGCTAAGGTTTTCTAAGTGTACCAAGAAACTCAGAAGCCGTAAAGGAAAAATCTGTTAAATTGATCTGGGCCAAGGTGAGTATGTGGGGTAAGACGGACCACAACCAGAACTAAAAAAAAGGAGGGGAAAAGTCTAAGACAAGTACTTGCACATACTCAGTACAGGGTCATTTTCTGGTTAGGTCAGGAACTCATGGAAGTCAATAAGAAACTAAAATCCAGTAGACAGTGAGCTGTGCCAGACTGACAATTCACAGAAAAGGGGGAAAAACTGGGTGAAAACATGACAGAGTGGAAACTAGAATATTATTTTCCGTGACTTAGAGATAAAAAGATTTGGTAAATATGTGTAATGTTGGCAGAAGTGAGAGAAAACGGATTTCCATGCTCCGCTTACGCGAGTGGAAACTGGTACTTCTTTTTGAGGGCTGTTTGGCAGACTTGTCAACGTGGAAAAAAAATCTCTTGACAAAGCAATTTTATTTCTAAAAATTTAATTCATAGACACCTGTGAAAGTCAGCAAAGGTTGGTAAAGCGCCTTGTTTGTCATAACGAAAGCAGAGGAGTAACCAGAACCCTGCCCCAGTGGTTAAATTGTGGATGGTAATTCGCACACTAGAATGCTGTTTAACTGCTCTCATGCACGCACGGGCGCAGAGAGGGCTTCGCAGTGCCACAGACGCTGGATACACGTTTGCGCGCGCACGCAGGTGTGCTCTTCGCCGGTGGGCACAGGAGAGGCAGGTGTGCCCACGTGCGCAGGCAAGTTCATGTCATACCTGAGACATTAGACCGAGGCTGCTATCTGTAGTTGCTTCTGCAACCACGGAGCTGAGAGAACTTGGGCTTGTTTTCATTGATTCAGACCTTTCTGAGTTATTATAATAAGTGTACTAAAAAGGTTTAAAAAACTATGTTTGCATTTTCAACAAGAGTCAAAGGACATTGACTCTCTAAAACGTCGAGCTACCCAAGGTAGCCCAGAGGTTGAGATAAGGGAAATGAAATGCAGCTGACAAACAGGATGACCAAGTGACAGCATTAGTAAAAGGCACACAATGACTGGGTTGAGGACAGATCTTTTAGAGCCTTTATTTATTTTATTAAAGTGCTGAAATAGGACTGGATTTTTTTTTTAAAGATTTATTTATTTATTCGTACAGAACTGGGGTACAGGCCAGAGATGCGGAGGGTGAGAGGATTCACCAAGGACAGAGCGGGGTACAGAACAGGCAGATCGACGAAGTCCACTGCTGAGGGGAGCAGCGGGCGGGTTGGGAGGGGTCTGCCGCGCCATGTGGTCACCTCCGGGGCGGGCGGGAATCGACCTCATGGGAGTGGTTTAAGCTTCTTTGTGTTGCGCTCTAACCCGCTGCACCACCAGGGAGGGCCCATGGACTGGTTTTTAAAGAAAACATAATGACAGGGTTGAAAATAAGGAACAGATCAGTGCAGCAGGTAGATTCTGGAGGCTCAGGCTGGAGACCAGTGTTGACAAATGAAGCAGCTGCTGAGCCTGCAAAATTTTCTTGGTGAAAGATTGATCACTGGGCCTTTCCTGGTGGCACAGTGGTTTGGAGTGCAGTACTGTGAAGAGAAGCTGTGGCCACTTCAGTGTGAGTTCAATCCCTGCCCAGGGAGATGACCCACATCGCTCAGCAGACCTCTCCTGTCTCACCGGCTGCTCCCCTCAGCAGTGTACTTTGTCCATCTGCCTGTTCTGCTCCCCACTGTCTCTGGTGAATCCTCTCGGCACTCCTGCACCTCTGACCCCTACCCCATTTCTGTATGCATAAATAAATAAAATCTTTTAAAAAAAGAGAAAGACTAATAACCAAGAAGAGTTGGGGAGAGAGGAGCAACTTTTCACCTTCCCAGAAGGAGAGACAAAACTTACCTTCCTTTCATTCACTTCACAATTTGATAATTGTAGGCTTAAGGACTTTTTTTTTTTTTTTTTTAAAGATTTATTTATTTGTGCTACAGAACTAGGGTACAGGCCAGAGGCTCAGGGGCGGTAAGAGGCTTCACCAGAGACAGAGCGGGGAACAGAACAGGCAGATCGACCAAGTCTACTGCTGAGGGGAGCAGCGGGCTGGTCAGGAGAGGTCTGCCGCGCCCTGTGGTCACCTCCGGGGCAGGCGGGGATCGAACTCATTAGCTTCTCAGTGCTGTGCTTTAACCCGCTGCGCCACCAGGGAGGGCCAGCTTAAGGACTTTTGACAAACTTGACTATCACCATCATTTTAATTTAAAAAATATTTAGAATTTTATTTGATTTTATCAAACACAGTGTCTGCCTTCCCTATTACTAAGCACCTACATAGCAAACAGAAAGAAAACAAAAATCGGAAAGTTAAAAACATTTGGCAGATATGAGACCAGATACATTGGGAGATGAATGTCAGAGTTGGATGACATAAAAAAAAGTCCCAATGTGTTTGCCTAGAAGAGACACATGAACACAGACAAAACAGCAAAGGCCAAATCAAACAAATGTGGGCAAATCTGGGGGTTAGCAGTAGATCAGACTAAGTAGGATTCAGTGTAAAGAGTATTACGTAATGGTTTGCTGAGCCATGGATACGAGAGCGATCTCATGTTGATGAAAGGTATTGTCATGGTAGAAAAACAGCCAGTAGCTTTCAAGGTAGTGCAGAAGGCAGCAGCAAGCAAACTGTCAGAGTTCTAAAGCTTTTTTCCACGTGTATTACCTCATTGATTCCAAATCCGCTGAGGTGGGCACTATATCCTGACTCACAGATAAAGAAATAGACAGAATGGTGTTCATTTGCCTAAGAGGTAAGGCTGTCCTGTGCCGACTCAATAGACTCTACCGGTCAGGCTTTAAGTGTGTTTTTCAGAAGTCTTGTTATTTTTCCCTTTGTTGGGTTTTAGTTTTGCAGATTAATAAAACCCAATTAAATGCTGGAAGAGCAGAGTACTGTATTCAGAGGTGCAGGGACAGTGAGAGGCTTCACCAGAGACAGAGCGGGGAGCAGAACGGGCAGATCCACGAAGCACACTGCTGAGGGGAGCAGCGGGCGGGCCAGGAGAGGGCTGCCGCGCCCTGTGCATCTCCTCCGGGGGATTGAACTCACACTGAAGTGGCTGCCACCAGCTTTGCACTGCTGTGCTCCAACCCGCGGCGCCATCATGGCGGGCCCCAAGTTGTCCCTTATTTGGCTCCGGAGGTCCCTCAAACTGGCTTCAGTATCCTTTTGACTTGGCCTCATTGGAACTCTTTCCTCTTGTGGCACAGTAAGATAACCCAAGCTTATCTTACTTTTACTGTTTCAGCCTGGAATTAGCCACTTTTTCAAGGAGCCCAGTTCCTTTTATTGGAGAATGGTGTTTAGAAACTGAGATAAGGATGATGAGTATATTGTTTGTGGCTGACGAGTCTTTGCTTCCAGACACTTTCAGAAGGGACAGCCAGGGGAATTGTGATCCTACACAGATGTGTAGAAACATCTGTGTATTCATCTCTGTTTGCATATGCACCTCTAATTGCAACACCACAGGGGCTGGTCGAACTTTCTTCTCCATTTTCATAGTGTCTACCTCTCCAGCAGTGAGAAACCTAGCTCTTGTGAGCTTTGATAGGTTGCTCACTTGTGAGTCTATTTATTTGCTTGCTTACTTTCTCACACTCACTCCTGTGCTCAGTCTTCTGGCCATACAAATTATCTTTTTGGACCTGGCCCCAACTCCAGGCTTACTCCAAGGGGATGCGGGAGAAGGTGTCAGGGAAGGTTCCATTTGTATTTCAATTTTTTTTGGGAAATTTGTTTTTATTTATGTATGCATACAAGAATTGGGGTGCAGGCTAGAGGTGCAAGGGTGAGAAGATTCATTAGAGATAGAGTAGGGAGAGGAATGGGCCAGTCGACTGAAATGCATTGCTGAGGGCAGCAGCAGGTGAGACAGGAGAGGTCTGCTGTGCCCTGTGGGTCAGCTCCCCGGCCAGAGGCTGAATTCATGCCACAGTGGCTGGTGATAGCTTGCTAGTGTTGAGCGTTTAACCCCCACACGACCAGGGAGGTCCCCTGTTTGTATTTTTATTGGTGACTCATCAGTGACATAGAAAGCGGTACTGGCAAAGCCCTTGGCTTTTTGTGACTCCTCTTCTCTCTCTCCCTCAAGATGGTTTCACCCAAATATCACTGGCGTGGAGGCAGAAAACCTCTTGCTGACGAGAGGAGTCGACGGCAGCTTCCTGGCGAGGCCCAGCAAGAGTAACCCCGGGGACTTCACGCTCTCCGTCAGGTAAGTTGCGATTAGGTAAGTTGCAAGTGAAAGAGAACTGGAGCTTTCCAGGTGGAAAATGGTAAAATGACCGTGGACAACTCGCTCCCCCCGCAGAGTCTGCAGGCCCGTCTGCTGCCCTGCGGTGGGCCGAGCCGCAGCAGCTGACCAGACGGATTCGAGAGAGGAGAAGGGACTGGGGCAGAGGCGAGTCCTGGCGGCGTCCTTCTCCCTGGGGGCCCCCGGGCTGAGCTGAAGCAGACCATCCGCCTTCCGCAGCCACCCACTTCTTGACCCTGGCTCCCACCTTTTTCTTTCCCTTCCCTTGATTTCTCAGTGGGGAAAGATGCTTTTTTAAAAGTTTCTTCAAATCACTTTTCTTTTTTAAGAAATAAAACATCACCCAGGAAGTTGCGGTCCCCCCTTTGCCCCTGCCCCGGCCCTCCCGTCCCCTCACGCTCTCCAGAGGAAACCACTGCCGGGAGGGCGGCGCGAGTCCTTCCTGAGCACATTTTCATGACTGACCCCCTGCACGGCTCCCTTGTGCTGTGTGAACGGCAGCGAGCTGGATTGTGTCAGGTTAAAATTCACATCCCGGACTCTGTATTGTATGTGTTACTCTGTGACTTCGTTTTGAAAATGTGTGAGTCCTACCTTGGTACATAAACCTGTAATTATCCATTTTAGTGACTATCCAGCTCAGCTGGTGTGAATATGCCCACTGTCTCCAATCTGTTGTTGGGTGTTTATTAGGTTAAAAACTTTGGAACTTGCCCAGCATCCTGTTACATGTCTGTGTGAGCAGGTGCGGGTGAGTTTTTAAGAAATTGATTTTCCTGTTGCACCTCCAGGCTCCTCAGTCTAGCGAGAAGCTAGAACTAACCTATCTTTTGTATTTGCTGTTAGTAGTGGATGAGTTTCTTGAGGAGCCACTGTCATTGACTTCTGTTTTCCTGTAAGCAGGGGTGGATTCTTCTGGGTTTTTCCCAACAAAGATTTCTAAACTCTTGTGGCATTTGAGCTGTAAGAGTCTGCATGGGGATTATATAAAAATGATAATAATGATCATAGTGATGATTTTAGCAGCTTTATTGAAACTTGACATTTATACCAGCCATTGCATGAGGTATTGTACACACAGTTTTGTTTAGTTTTCCCCACAGCCTGTGAGTAAGTACCGTTGCAATCTCCAGCTTTTAGGTGAGTGAGGGGAGGTTCAGAGGTTATTTTGAGAAACTTCAGAGCTGTGGAAAGTTGAGAGATGATTATCACAACATCACATTCCTGTTGTTAACATTTGCATATTTGCTTTTTCTTTGTGCCTGCATGCGTGTGTGCATGTGTGTGTGTGTGTGTGTGTGTGTGTGTGTGTGTGTCACTCCTCTGCAAAATCTTTTGAAAATAACTTAGAGCTACCAGGGACTTATTTTTACCTTTAAATACTTCCATGTGTTTGTCCTATGAATAAGATGTTCTCTCGTAACTATAAAATCATTATAGAAGTTTGCACATCTATTCAGTGTGCTCTAATTAATATATAGTCCATATTCAAGTTTCCCTCATTTCAGTAGTGCTTCTTAGAGCTCTCCGGTTCTTTATCTCAGCAAGCGCATAATACTGGCTAGCCCCAGCTTCTGCTATTAATGCTCCTGGAATGTCCTTGTCTCTAGAACCTTTGAGTAGACAGAGGTGGGAAATAAATATTTAAATATTTATTTAATAATATTTAATATTAATATTTAAATATTTATGTTAAAACTAAGTGCGCTTACTAACAGTTTCAGTTCAGCCCAACTTCTTTACCTTTCCCATTCCCTGTTGCATCTCCCTTCTCGTGTAGGGAGACCCCTGGTTCTTTACAGCATCAGCATGTGACCCCATTTTTTAAATGTAAATCTAAAAAATTGTTTTAATTTTGGGGTTACATTTTTACTGCTCACTATATGACCTCATTTTCTCTTCCCTATAATACAAAAATAGTTTCAGAATTTTTCTATCACTATCAAACTTGTAAAGTTCATGATTTCTCTGGAGTCTTGGTTCTTGGAATATGTCTCACTAAAGCTGCAGAATCAGTTCTACATTCAAAAGTTACAGGAATTAACTTTCTGTGTCATTATGAACTGAGTACAGGGTTAGATTCATTTCACTTATTCATTATTTTGACCCTTGTCTCTTTTCTTTTGTTTTTTTTTGGGAATATATGAAGCTTAGAAGTTAAACTACATGGAAAAGCACAGGGGATATTTCATTCTTTCCCTGCCTCTTGTACTCTATTTCTGTCCTATCTGGAGGGAACCTTTTCCATTAATTTCTGTGTTTCTTTTTTACATGAAATAGAAAATTATATTTATTTTTTTCACTTACAGAAATCTCCTAGGGAATTTTCCTTATTTTTTCAATCATCGGCATACAGAGCATATAACTTCATTCAGTTTTCTGCAAATGGGGATTTAGTTGCCCAGTATTTGAGAGGTATGGTACAGTGGCTCTGAGAACCGCTGTCATGTGTCTTGTACTTTTGGAAACATAGCTTCAGGGTGGATTCCTGGGAGTGAGGTGAAGGGGCAGAGAAGCACACACAGAGCGTAGTTTGCCCCAATTCTCCATGGCGGCTGTGCCATTCTGCATCCCCACCAGCCGGGGGAAAATGGGTGCCCATTGTTTCCCGTAGCATTCACATTGAATATTGCCAAGCTTTTCATTTTCACCAACCTGATAGGTGAGAAATGTTGTCTCAGTTTTAATTGTCATCTCCCTTGTGGTAAAACTAAACATCTTTAATAAGTTTGAAAGCCGTTTGCTTATTATTATTATTATTATTTTAAAGATTTATTTATTTATTTATTCATACAGAACTGGGGTACAGGCCAGAGATGTGGAGGGTGATAGGATTCACCAGAGACATCTGCCTGGGGAGCAGAACAGGCAGATGATCAAAGTACACTGCTGAGGGGAGCAGCGGGCGGGTCAGGAGAGGTCTGCCACGCCATGTGGTCACCTCCGGGGCAGGCGGGAATCGAACTCATGCGGAAGTGGCTTTAGCTTCTCAGTGCAGTGCTTTAACCTGCTGCGCCACCAGGGAGGGCCCTGCTTATTATTTTTAAAAAAAATTTTTATTTTTGCATAGAAGAACTGGGGTGCAGGCATGGGGTGAGAGGATTCACCAGAGACAAAATGGGGAACAGAACAGGCAGTTTGACTGAAATACTCTGCTAAGGGAGCAGTGGGCGGGTCAGGAGAGGTCTGCCGTGCCATGTGGTCACCTCCGGGGCAGGCGGGGATCGAACTCATGCTGAAGCGGCTTTAGCTTCTCAGTGCTGTGCTCTAACCCGCCGTGCCCCCAGGGAGGGCCCTTTTTCACTACTCTCTAATTCTGTCCTTCCCTTTGCCCCAAGGCAATTACTATCTATCCTGAACTTAGTGTTTTTCTCTCTAGTTCATAAAAAAGGGTGTGTAATTATATATACTTATCATCTTAAAATATAATACATGTTTGTATCATGAAGAACGTGTAGAATTACTTGTGTGTTTTTTAGCTTTCATAAATGGCCCGCTAAGCATATTGTTTTGCCTTGTGCTCTTTCACGTTACATGTTTGGGTCATCTGTGCTGCTGCATGTTGATCTCATCTATAACTGACATGTTTGATTTTTTGGGTCATGTCATTAGTAAAGGCTAGAAATGGAAAGCCCAGGTATTAAAATATAGACCAGAGTAGCTGGAGAACAATGAACTGGAAAAAGCTGTGAGCGATCATTAGAAGTAGATATTGTCAGAAATGTTATGGGTGATTTTTCTTACTTTCCTTAGTTCCCATTTTGCTTTTTCTCTGTTAGACATGTATTTATATTTCCCAGAGGCTTCACTAATAGTGCTGCAGTATCAGTCTAAAATTAAGCTTAGGCCAATGGTTACATTTTGGGATACCAAATCCCTTGGGTCCACCAAAGGATAGCAGGTGATAATGGGCGTCCTTGACATGTATTTAGCAGGTCAGAAAACCCGATGGAAGTCACAGGCAGGCCGCCCAGGCTAACTAGAGTCCACATTTCATGAACTTTGGCCAGCGTTATGTCAGCTTAGTGGGACAGCGTATTAGCGCTCTCCATGCTGAATTTATGTCTTTAAAATGTTTCTTGAAGGATGCAGTTCTCGTAGGTGTCCAGTGAGATGACTTTCGGCACATGTGGCACTTACACATGGGGCCAACGCGAGGTCGGAGGCGGCCCCGATGTCCTGTTGGCCTTGTCCCTCCATGCCGCTCTCCGACCGCCCTAAGAGCGGCTGCTGCTCCCACTTCCAGCCCCACGTGCTAGTTTTGCTTATTCTCCAACTTCATCCAAAAGAAGCTGTGCAGTCCAGAAGTCCGTATGTGTTTTATGTTTCGCTTCTTTCTCACCTTTTTTGAAGATTCATCCATATTGTATGTATCATGATTTGGCTTTTTTTTCTTTTATATTGCTTTATGTCATTCCATTGTATGAATGTACGACTATTAATTTATCCACTTTGGTGATAGGTAAGACTTTTCAGTGTTCCCCTAGGCTACAGTGAATATTCTTTTGTAAATCTTTTGATATCCATATGGTTCTTATAATGAGTTGACTGCATTACAAAATAGGCAAACATTTATCTTTAATATGGAAATTATGTGTCTTGATTAATGATGGAAAATTGTTACTTAATATTTGCGGTTTGATAGCTTAGGCTTTCAAAGTAGAAGATGTACCTGCAGAGAAACTAATAAACAGAGTCTTCTGTGCTGTTATGTGTGTGTGATGATTTCATCCACTGGATTTGTTACAGGGAAGGTGAAAGCTTGTACTTTGACTTCTTTTAATGTTTAGGCAAACTCTGATATTGAGCGTGAGATCCATTTTCACTGATTTAATTCTTCGTTTCCCTCCTCCTCCACCCGCCATGAACTATTTTAGGAGAAATGGAGCTGTTACCCACATCAAGATCCAGAACACTGGCGATTACTATGACTTGTATGGAGGGGAGAAGTTTGCCACTTTGGCTGAGCTGGTCCAGTATTACATGGAACACCACGGGCAATTAAAAGAGAAGAATGGAGATGTAATCGAGCTCAAATATCCTCTAAACTGTGCAGATCCTACCTCTGAAAGGTCAGTGACAGTTCAGTGGCCACAGGGCCTGCACATCCCTCCCTCCTGCACCGTATTTGCCGTGCAGGTGCATCATGGCGGTTTGGCTGCTGTCTTGCTTCTCAGACTGCAATCCTCAAAGTTTTACTAAAGTATCAACAGTAAGATCAGATTATTCTCAGAGTGCCTTTTCCTGCAAAAGCCTCCATCAGCGTGACTTACATTAATTCTCCAAGGGCCTCAGACTTTTCCTGGGCATGGTGGGTATGTGCAGTAATTTGAAGACTGTTGAACTTCAGCTGCAATCTTTGAAAGTTATGAGAGGAAAAGAAATCATAAGGGAGACAGTAAAATAGCAACTAACTCTTTAGTGGTTCCCGACCAGTTATTCAGCAGTGCCACCAATAGATGTCACTTTAAGCTCAGAAATGGAAAAGTAAAAACTGAGGAGAGCCAGACATTTCATCAGTTCTTATATCTGCACAGGTGTGTGAATGACTTGTTTAGAGGGAATTATATTACTTCAGGCATCTTTTCTCCCTTCTCTTGGAACTAAGCTGATAAAAGCTGGACTGGATTTATAAACCATGTAGAAAGGTTGTCTACATTCTCAGTCTCTTCCTTGACTCCATTTCAGGGTTGCCTATGTTTGTGTATTTTATATTTGCAGGTATTTTTCTTCATTATGCACCTTTATGTCATCATTGATGATTGCTTCTCCAGCAGCCACTACAGCTTAAAGCAAAAGGCTTTCAGCCAACTTTGTGCAGTTTATTTCTAAATTTCACTCAGTTCAGTTGCACAGACACACCCACCTCTGGCATACACCCCAGTTCTTCTACATAAAAAAATAAGTAAAAATAAAAAAGTGTTGTTTATCAGTCCTCCACACCTAGCCCTATAGGTCCAGCCATTCAATTGCAGCCTTTAAAGAAGGTGTAATAGAAAGTTATGGCAAAGAGAATCCGTAACCTGAAAGTATGATGAAAAGTGACTTAAAGTATCTTTCTTACCATGAACCATTAATGTTATCTGCTGTAACACCTGCTTTCTTATGATCCCGAGGGTGAAAAAAGACTGACTTGACTATCTTAGGAGAGGGTTGTGAGTCTGTGTCTTACTTGTGGGTGGCCAACACCAGGATTCTGGTGTGCTGGTTTAAAAACAGGTTGCTGTGAAAACACAAAGAAAAGAAGAACAGAAAACAAAACACAGATTTTTGGTCCTCATTCAGACCAAGTGTATCTGTGTTTTAGGTTGTGAGGTCTGCAAATGCACTTTCTAGGAAAAGCTACTTCCAGTCTTACAGTTACTAAAGTTTGAAATGACAGCCCAGTATGTAGTCCAAAGATGTGGGCAGTCAGCTGGGAGGCTTTTGAAGCATGGGTCGGAAATATGGAAAGATTAGAATATTTGAATTAATTTACAGTGCACGTCCTTTTTCCAGTGTTCATATGCCAGAGCAGTGGCAAACAATCAAATGGTTCTCTCTGCCATACTTCTGCTGTAACTTCCTTAAAGGGCTGGGATTGAATGGTTGGGCCTACATAGGGCTAGGTGTGGAGATAAACAATAGTTTTTTAATTTTACTTACTGTTTTGAATAGAAGAACTGAGGTGTAGGCCAGAGGTGAGTGTGTGTGAGACAATTCACCAAAGACAGAGTAGGGAGCAGAACAGGTGGATTTACTGCTGAAGGGAGCAGTGGGCAAGACCAGAGAGGTCTGCTGTGCCATATGTGGGCCACCTCTCTGGCTGGGAATAGAACTTAGTACTTAGCACTTAGCAGTGCTGTGCTTTGACCTGCTGTGCCACCAGGGAGGGCCCGTCATTCTTTTTTTAAAGGTTTATTTATTTATCCAAGAAGTGGGGTAATGGCCACAGGTGTGGCGAATGAGAGGATTCACCAGAGACAGAGTAGGGAGCAGAACGGGCAGATGGACTGAAGTCCACTGCTGAGGGGAGCAGCAGTGAGACAGGAGAGGTCCAGCGCGCCATGTAGGTCACCTCCCTGGCCGGGGATTAAAGCCAGGACGCAGTGGCTGAGGATAGCTTCGTAGTGCCGTTGCGCCATCGGGAGGGCCCTTACTGTCATTCTTAACATTTTTTTTCCTGCCTGCTTGGGATACAGATTCTGTCCTCTTGAGGGGACCGGTTTCTCTGTGTGATTGTGTTTAGGAGAGCTGACTACATGGATAATTTTGTGTGTAAGAATATTAGGAACCCTTGGGGAGCTCAGTTCATTTTCATTTTCATTTCAAAATATGCAGGTGGTTTCACGGACACCTCTCTGGCAAAGAAGCAGAGAAACTACTAACTGAGAAAGGAAAACATGGCAGTTTTCTTGTGCGCGAGAGCCAGAGCCACCCCGGAGATTTTGTCCTCTCTGTCCGAACCGGTGATGACAAAGGGGATTGCAGCGACGGCAAGTCCAAAGTGACCCACGTCATGATCCGCTGTCAGGTGACCCCGCTGGCCGCGGGCCTGGTGCAGGCCGCCTTGGGTGGTTTTTCCTGGGAGGGGACAGACAGCATCACTCCCGGAGTCAGACTTTCTTTGCTCATTTCGTCCAGGGTTTCTAGGCATTTCATATATTGTTTGTTTTAACTGTTTCATCATTTCTTGTTTCCAGTCCGTCTTGGCAGAGTAAGTCATGTCTCAGGGTGTCACCTGCCCTGCCTTTTCGAACCTTCTTCAGTGTGATGGCCCTGGGGTTGGCCCCCGCAGGCTCCTGGTCTAGCCTGTGCCAGCAATCGCTGCAGGTGACAGTCCTGAGTTGAGGCTGGGCGAGCTGAGCCATTTCTTGTTTTTACTGTGGCAGCTGGACCGAGGAGGGTGATTCTTGGACAGCTACGTAGACTTGTTTTTTTGACAGTTTCCTATGTAGAAACTATTCACTTAACTGCTTCAATTTTAAGTTAAAAAAATTAAATAGTGATCATTCACACAACTTAGATGTCACCCTTTTATAAAGGGGGTGATTTTGTCGTTTTCAGTATAACCACAAATTATGCACCACAGCGTCATTATCAGAACATTTCATCACCCTGCGAAGAAGCCCTGTCACCCTGTGTTCTCTCCCCAGCCTGCCTTTGGCAGCCACTCAGTCACCTGCTGCTTCAGTGGATTTGCCTAATTTGGACATTTGATATAGATGGAGTCATGGCAGGAGGTGGTCTTTTTGTGTCTGGCTTCTTTCACTTGGTGTAATATTCTTGAGGTTTATTCACCTGTAACGGGCCAGTAAACTCTTTATGGTAATATATCCCATGGTGTGCACACCACATTTTGTTGATCCATTCTTAATCCACTAAAAATTGACGAGTGATTTGGCTGCTCCGAGTAGTGCTCCTCCGAAGAATATTTGTCTAAAAGTTCTATTGGATGAGACATCATGCTGATATTTTAATTTATAAAATATATTTTCTTTTAGGTCTTTAGCTGATGTAGATTCTTTGGACTTTTCTCAAGAACAGTCTTTTTTTCTTCCCTGTGTATATGGCCATATTTTCCTGTTTCTTTGCATGGCTTACTTTTTTTTTTATTGAAAACTAAACAATTAGAAAAAATCAGACATCCTTCTTCCCAGAGTTTGTCGTGCCACTTTTTATTGTGTCTGTATTTCTTATTGTCTGTGTGTTTAGTGACTTTCCTGTTCTTTGTCCTGTGTGACCTCTGATTGCTTTGCTTGGTGGTCAGTTAATGATTGGACAGAGCTTTCTGTTCAGCCTCTACTCTGCTGATATAAATTCAGCAGTGTGTGTTGTGTGTGTGTGTGTGTGTGTGTGTGTGTGTTGCAGCGAGTGTCTTCTGTGCTCTGACACCTGAAAACTCTGCCTTAGCCTTTACTGTCTGCTTTCCCCAAACTTCAAGGTCAGTTGGAGGTGAAGATTGTGCCTTCCTGTATCTTTCTTGGACCTTGCACACACCTTCTGAATTCTCAAGAATATGCTGGAGTTTTCAGAACTCCTGGACATTGTCTAGGTTTTCCTGCTCAGTTTTTGGTCGGTCTCCTAGTATGTGCCTGACCTCAGGCCCCTGTGATATTAAACAGTGACTGCTGATTGTTTTGGACAGGTCCCCTGCGGACATGGCTAAGGGAGTCCTAAGTCAGGTCAAATAAAAACAACCCTGAAAACGGGGCTTTTCCAGCTTGCTGCTAAAGAGGCTAGATGATTCTCAGGGGACAGGTCTCTTGAGAGGCCTCCAGGTCCGTTCTGTCCTCTCTGGCTGGGCTAGGTGGCTTGTTTCATAGCTGCTGTGTGATAGGTCTTACTGGTTTTCAGAGCTATTGAGGAGCTGGGGAGAGCTGGGATAAGGCAGTTAAAACATCATGGCTTAGAGCACTTACCAGATTCAGTCCTTTTTTCCCCTTAAATAAATGCTCCTCAAAGTGTTGTGACCTCCTGTTTAATTTTCGAGTGCTGAAGAAGTTGGTGACAGTTTGGCCAGTGTTCTTGTCGCCTTTATGGAAGAATAGATTTCCAGGCCCTGAATTGTCGTTCTGAAAGGGCTTCTTCCGGCCTCCAGTCTGATTTTAAGTAAAATATCGTACCCAAATATCTTCATATATAATTTCTAGGGCTTTGTGTTTCAGAATTTGTAACTGTTGCCCTAAATAACCTACTCTGATCTCCTTGTTAGTGAAGAAATTTTTGGTCTGTGTTTATAATGTCCCTTTTACATTCCGTTGGAAGGTGAGCGGAAGGGCATGCGCACCCAGTGCCTCGCCAGCCTCTACGGTTTGCATTTCAGAGCGTGGTTGCTCACTGGCTGCCCCTCAGCAGCAGTCTGGGTACTCAGCCTCAGTGTGAGCGGTAGTAAAGAACACCGGAAAGACGCCGTCTTTATTTCTTCGCTACTTAGTTAACTTATGAAATGAAGACTTTTGTTGGGTACTTACTGGGGCTGTTTGCACCTCCCCATGAACGGCTTCCCGTTGGGTTAGCCTTTCCATTTTCATCATCCACGTCGCTTCCTTCCTTTGTGCTGCTGCTGCTGTTGCATTTTTCCATCGTGGGGGGAGAGTTTGCTTCTACTTCATTTGTGAGAAACAGTGACTTAACATGAAAGCTCATTAATAGGATTATTTTGTCTTGAAAGGAACTGAAATATGATGTTGGTGGAGGAGAACGGTTTGACTCTTTGACAGACCTCGTGGAGCATTACAAGAAGAATCCCATGGTGGAGACCCTGGGCACGGTGCTCCAGCTCAAGCAGGTGAGGGAGTCTGGAGTTCAAGTCCCCCTGTTTGCAGCTTTCCAGAGTAGACAGAATGGCATCAGGTACCTCCATGTGTCTAATTCAGCTTTAGCTCTGAGCTGGTCATCAAATCTTTTGGTTTTTTGAAGATTTTATTTATTTTTGTGTAGGAGAACGAAGGTACAGGCCACACATGCAGGGAGTGAGGGGATTCACAGGGACAGAGTGGGGAGCAGAACAAGTGAATTTACTGAAATCCACTGCCGAGGGGAGCAGCAGGCAAGACAGGAGAGGTCTGCCGTGCCCTGTGGGTGAGCTCCTCCAGAGATTGAAATCAGGCTTTAGCGGTGATAGCTAGTACTAGCGGGTTCAGCTGAGACCTAACCCCTAAGGTAGAGGCCCTGATCATCAAATCCTGCCTCATTTATTCCTCCATTCACTGCTTTCCTGCAGTATTTGGAAACAAATTCCAGGTACTGCATTCCCCTCCCCCCATGACTCGCTCCCTGTGATCCCTAAATGGCCTTAGAGAGTTTCTAAAGCAAGTTTTCACCAAGTCTGCGTTTTCATTATCGATCGTCCTTGGGTTTTAAGTGGTCACAGTACTCACTTGGGAGTTAATGCTATTCCAAAGTTTACTTTTATTATTTGTGGCAAATGATACTTCTCTAAATAACATTGTGGTCTTTTTATAAAGAAAATTTAGTTTGAATTGATACCAGCAGAGTAAAGTAGAGCTTGAAGAAAGAGACATTTTTCTGACAGCAGTAAAGAAAGTGAAAGTTTTTTGAAAACTTACATTGTGAATTACTGTGTCCTGTGAATTTCCTATCCTTGCCTTATGAATAGCAACATAGAAGTCTTTTTTTTTTTCATTAACACTTTTTTTTCTGTAATACTTCTTTACTTCACACCAATGGCTGACTTTGATTAGCCCCTCAACACAACTCGTATTAATGCTGCTGAAATAGAAAGCCGGGTTCGAGAACTAAGCAAATTAGCTGAGACCACAGATAAAGTCAAACAAGGCTTTTGGGAAGAATTTGAGGTAAGTCATTAAATTTTCTTTCACATGCATTTATTAAATTCTGTTTTTATGGAAGAGAAGTTGGTCTTGTGTTTGCAGTTGGATCTGAAAGACTCAAATCTGTGCCCTTTTTTAATTTGGCCATTGATTGGCATGGAACAAGTTGCTGGGGGGGGGGGGGTTTGTTGGAATACAAAGGCGTTGTGTTCTGGGAGAAGGGAGCTGGTAGTTAATCTGAAGTGGATGCACCAGTAGTTACATTTGGCTGTTTGATTTCATCTACTGGCAAAACCCCAGAAAACATAAGGATCTTATTCTTTTGGAAGATTTCCAGCATTGGTTGGAGTCTTTGGAAAGAATCTGTAGCTTAATTGTGAGAAATTCTTTTTGTGGCTTTAGTTTGAGAGTTGAAATTTAGAACTTCGGGTAGTAAAGTGAACAGATTTCTTTCCTGACACCGACTTGTGTAGGAGACTGGCCCTAGCGGGAATGTGCTGTGTTCCTGTTGCCTCTGCTCTGTGACTTCCAATTCCGACAGTAATCCTGTTCCCTCTTCTCGACAGAAATCTTCTTCAAAAACTAAGATGGTAGTTACCCTTAGCTCATAGCACAGTGCCTGGCACACAGCAGAACCTGAATGAGAATTTACATTTAGTTAATGTTTATGTTATTTTATCGAGCACTTCCCTGTTTATGGGAATGAGTATTCATACTCTGCAGGACGTTAGAACTTAGCATTTGTGGAATGGGTGAATGAATGAGTGAATGGATAATGACTAAGTGAAGTCTGCTCGGTGAGATATTACACTTTATAGATGAGGAGCCTGAGGTTCAGGGAGGTTAAGGAAATTATCCAAGCTCTGTGCCACAAATATTGATTGAATTGGGTTGCTGGGGATGGGTACAAAATAGAACATTCACAATCTTTGCTCCACATTGTTGAACAGAGGCTTGAACTCAAGATTATCCTTTCATACCAGACATTGAGTGAGTCATTGAGGAAAGCCCGGTGACAAGGCTTCTGTCTTTAAGAACAAACTTCTAGTTCAGAGAAGGAAGACAGTGATGAAAAGCATCACTAAAAAAGTGATGATCAATATAATATATCAGAAATGATCAATCTCAAGCTCACTGTTCATTCTAGTGTCTGTCTTGCTGGCCTAGATAATAAAAGGCAACATTTCAACATTCCTTTAATTACATTCACTTTTCACTTAATCTTCATAGAACCTCATGAGATAAGATGGATAAGCATGGGAGGTGTTTGGAAACCTTGTATCAAAACTTGAATGAAAAATCTATTTTTTTTTTAAAGATTTATTTATTTGTGCATACAGAACTGGGGTACAGGCCAGAGGCTCAGGGGCAGTGAGAGGCTTCACCAGAGACAGAGTGGGGAACAGAACAGGCAGATCGACGAAGTACACTGCTGAGGGGAGCAGTGGGCGAGTCAGGAGAGGTCTGCCGCGCCCTGTGGTCACCTCCGGGGCAGGCGGGGATCGAACTCATGCGGAAGCGGCTTTAGATTCTCAGTGCAGTGCTTTAACCCGCTGCGCCACCAGGAAGGGCCGAAAAATCTATTTTATTATGCAGAATTTACAAATACATTGAAGAATCATAGCATTTTACTAGTCACCTGGCATTAACAGTTGCCAGTCTTTTTAAATTTCACCCACTATTCCCCCCAGTTTATCTAGAAGCAAATCCCATGTCATTTCATCTATAACTATTTCATCTCAAAACATTATAACCAGAATAGCTTATCACACCTAAAACAATGAACAGAAATTTAATATCTACACATATTAGTCACTGATCACATTTTTCTCACTGCTATAGATTCATGAAATAGTGAGTATGAATTGGGAATTACCTTTGCCAATTGATTGTGATAGTTTTGCACACAAAGCTAGTAACTTTGCATAAAGAACTCCCACCTGCCATTACCAGTTACCCCAGACCTGTTATTTTGTGTATTTATTTATTTTGAAGCAAATTTATTATTCTTGTATAGAATTCATGTGTTCATACCTGCTTTACATCATTGTTCATTTTTGCACAGGGTGTGCGTTTTCCTCTCAGGAGTAGTCCCCTTGCGCTCTTCCCTCCCTGTTTGAGTCCTCACGTGCGTTATGCAGAGGCACGCTGAATGGCTCTTGGCACACCTTTCCCTGGGTTTGCTGACTTGTTGCTTTTCACAGTGTGGCCCATGTTTAAAACTGACGGCTGTGGGCAGCCCCCCGGCTCACCCGTGACGATGCAGGCGCCGCTTCTTCTTTCTCCTTTTCCTGCTTTTAAACCGCCAAAAAATAAAGTAAATGATGGTCGTTCCTTGTCGTTAATTTTTATTAGACATCATGTGTGATTTTGGTTAGAATCGTTCTGGTCTGCAAAAATTCTGTTTAGAATGAAAATTAATAGTTGTAAAACCCTTTTGGTTACATGTGTGAGATAGTGAGCAATTCTGTCATCTTGACCCCTTGAAATGTTACCCTTCCTTTTGAAATGGTAGCTGTGTGATCGGACCACTTTTCCTTTAAAGTGACCTGAAATTAAAGAAAAACAACAACCCACAGCAGCAAGGTGGGGATTCTTTAATTACCAGCTTTCCTAGGATGATGCTCAGGGAATGGAGGCCAAACCTTCTGGAAGAGGCTGAGACATCAGGGGTGTTTTCATGGTCCATGTTGGTGGGCAAGGTGTGAACTTGGAAGGAACTCCCAGCCTGACTGTGTTGGCCCTGGAAAAAGCGGGCAGATGTTCTGAATGTTGACCTGATGGTTTTGTATTGTGACACTTCAGACTCAGGTTGACAGAAGGGGGTGGGAAGTATTGAGTTGACTTTCTGAGGAAATCCAAAAAAAAAAAACAAAAACCCAAGATCCCAAAGGTACAAGTTCTCCATGGAGGTCAGGCTGGGTGATAAATTGCCAGCACTAAATCAGGGCATTCATGTTCCATTTAAACTGAAGTCCAATCAAAGTAGCTGGTGACCTGCTTTCTAGTGCTTTGTGTATCTGCTTATCTAATCCAGTCAATTAAAAATTGCCCTTTTTGGTCGGGGCCTGGAGAATAAGGCCGAGAACAGAATCATCCAGTGTAGTGAAAATTAGATCCGTGTAAGCAGCTACTCATTATAATCTAAATCCCTGGGGACTGATGTTTGATCCACAACAAGACATTAGTATTTCAGTGATTGCACCTTAGTTGTTTCCTAGAAGGCAATAAATTTAGGATCATTTCTTTCTTCCCATGTGCTCTGATGGTCTTTACGGTGAACTAGACCTCTAAATTGCAGTGCCATTGGTAATTTTTTTTTTTTTTTTTTTTTTTTGCCATTGGTAATTTTTTATGGGCTACGTTTTATTTGTTTGGATACTGCTCCTCGTTATCTGTAAAAGTTCTCCTTGTCGTTTCAGATGTTTCTCCAGAAGACACTTAAAATTACTTTCCCTTTTGACCCGTCTTAAAATACCAAGCCTCTTGTGAATTTCTGTGGCTCTTTCTCCTTGACTCCCAAAATAAATTCAGTTCAATGATTTTCTTCTAGGACATGTTATCTGACCAAGTTGTTATGAACTCAAGTCTTTGTTTTTTTTCCCTACAGTGCCTGTTTCTGATTTCTGTGACCATCTTCTGTCCCCTTCATATCTCTGTTCATGACTACAAAGAGGTGGATAGTGTTTCTAGATTGGTCAAACTAAAGTTTTGCGTGGATGAGATTGACATTCTGTAGATGAAAAGGCAGGTTCTAAACCTGTGATTTTGTGCCTGCAACATGCACGTTGCCTGAAACCTGAACTAGCCCTTGTGTGGCATCATGGTGAGCGAGATACATGTGGCACAGGGCATTTGCGCCCTCTCGATGTCTCTCCTCCCCTTCGAGTCTTCTGGGTCTGGAGTCCCGGGGTGCCCTGTATGCCAGGCCTGGCCGCTGTATCTGACCGCACGGCCCAAGCTGAGGAAGGAAGTCTTGCTGCTGAGCTTGCTGTGGCTCCCAGCCTGTCCTCCATCCCCCCTTCACCCCTCCGCCCTCTCTGCATGCTCCATCCCTGCTCTCCACACCCTTGCTTCATTCTTTCCTTTAGGTGGCACCCACCGAAATCTTCCGGCAGATTTCGGTGCTTTTTAACTGAAAACCTTACTCCTAGGCCATTTCAGATACTGAAACAACTTGCCATCTTTGTGCCAAGTCTCAGAGATTCTCGTGGGCTCAGAAGCCATCCTCTCTGGTCGAAGGACACAGTCACAGCAAATAGTTCTCAGAGATGGGGGTTGCAGAGGCAGACAGCCCCCAAACATCCTGAAGCAGTGGTGACTGGTGGCGGCGGTGATTTCTTGGTTCATTCATTCAACAGATGTTTATGACGCACAGGCTTGGCTGGGGTCTCTGCTCTAGGAAACAAATTAAACTTTCTCCTGTGGAGCTTATAGTCAATTGGGAGAGACAGACGGTAAACACAGGAACAGGTTTTGCTGGTGATAATTGCTACAGAGAAAATAAAATAGGGCAAGACGAAAAGGGTGCATGGATGGAGCATTGCTGTTCGCTGGTAGGGTGGCATGTGAACACAGACCTGCAAGCATGCAGATGGCATCAGGAAGAACATTCCAGCAAAGGCAATAGCAAGTGCAAAGGCCCTGGAGTGAGAACATCCGTGGCCTCTCTGGAGAGGCGTGGGCAAGGGGGCGCCGCCTGGACTTTGCCTCGATGTTTCTTCATCACCCGCACAGCGATCTCCTTTGGGTCCTGGTGGACGCTCGGCAGGTGCACGGTTTAGTTTTTCAGACCCGTGCGTACAGCTTGCCAGCGAGGATCTCGGGATGCATTTCAGAAAGTGTCTGGAACTTCTGATTTTAAAGCCCCGCAGCGCTTACACTTGTAGATAAACACCCCACAGCTCATTTCAGCGGGGATTAGCTTCTCCCAGTGCTTCAGAGCTTGTTTTCTCAACAACTGGAGTTTTGTCCTAAGCCCAGCTTCCTTGTCTGCTCCGGTGGGACCGTGCAGCTTGCTGGCC